CTCCAAACTTTTTGGTTAGTCGTAAAATACGATTTTTATGCAGGGTAGGCTCAAGGGGTAGACCAGATTTCCAGACGTACAGACAAAAGTGCACCAAAATTCAAATACAAGCCAACAGATCCAAGGGCGGGTCTCACGGGGGTAGAGGGGCAGAAAAAGAGATATGCCAAAATTGCCAAAATATCAAAAAGACGCAATAATAATATAGTTATTTTTCTACGCGAAAGAAAATTCCAATTATGTTCGTGGAACATTGTGCGTACCTGGGGGGATAGGGGGGGGCTTTTAAGCCAGTTCAACACTATTTTTTATATGAAGCTAAACATATTTTTACTAGAACTATATTTTTTGACGTTTGTTGAAAAAATGTTGTTTGCAACTGGAGTGCGAAATACTTTGGTCATCTCGACAATTTTTTCAACTCGGCTACGCCTCGTTGGAAAAATCAGATCTCGATCACCAATGTAGCATTTAGCACTCGATCTAGACACAAAAATAACTATTCTGTGATTTCGTGGATGTTTGTTCGATTGAGGACCATAAATATCTCATATATATTTTACATAACAATGCGCGAAGTAGGTATTTCGATCAGTTCGATCTACATCTAGGATAAAAAAATCAAATGGAAAGGGGGGTCTTGCGTTCCTGTCACACATCATTTTGAAGCTCCTGACGAATAATTCACAACCCTATAGAATATAAAGTCAATATCTTCATCTACTACAAAATGGCGGAACATTTATTAATTGTCTCAATACATCGACATTTAACTTCATATCTTAAAAAAATAAGGTGATTTCAGTTCAGAAGATGTTCGAAATGAATGCCTTGAACTTCTTGACATATATTTCACGCTGAACATTCTCGAACACATTGCAGTAACGTCGATATGTCTATACAAATATTCGTTATTCACTGCCGTATGTCCAATATTGAAGCAGGTTCAGTTTCGTACACCTTCTGCTTCAAATAACCCCATAAAAAGAAGTCTACAGGTGTCAAATCTGACGATGAGCGGCCTGGCCATTCCGTAGGACCTCGACGGCCAATCCAACGACCGGGAAAAGTATTATCCAAATAGTTTCTCACTTGTCTGGAGTAATGTGGTGGTGCTCAATCTTGTTGGAATACAATATCCATATCAAATTCATTAGGATTCGCTTCGACGATTTCGGTGATTAGAGGGTCAACAGTATTCTCCAGCATATTCAAATACAGTTCCCCTGTTAAATTTTGGTCAATGAATAGAGGTCCTACAATATGGTTTCCCAATATTTCTGCGTTAATTTTTTCTGGATATTGAGTATGAGTTTTCCGGAAAACGTGAGGGTTGGGGTCACTCCAATAACGGCAATTTTGTCTGTGAACATTGCCGTTGAGAAAAAATGTACATTCGCCACTGAAACAAGTATTCTGGAGATATGAAGGATATGCCTTGCAATGGTTTCCGTCATAATTTCGCAGAATTGTATTCTTCGATCAGGGTCATCTACAGTTAACTGTTCTTCCGGAATAGGTCGCGTGCACGATGACCGACCCTGGAGGCAAAATATTGAAACACAACCTCACTCTTCTGTGAATTATTGAAACACAACCTCACTTTTTTATTTGTTTACAGAGGAATCGAAAGGTTGAAATAGTTTTTCACAATATTTTGGCATACGAATCGTGTTTCTTGCGTTATTCATTAATTCAAGCATGCCTTCGTATTGTGCTGTTGTACAATGCACAAAAAATGCCGCAAGAGACTAGGGAATATGATTTTTCAGGTAAATAGTAATCTCACATATAGTTATCATTATGAAATGTTCTCATTCCTTATTAAAATTCCTTCTGCCTTCTGCCACTTCTGCAATACAAGCTGATACTGCTGATAGATTGAAAATGTCTACAACACACACGATCGTCAGCATGTCAGACCAATCCTCCCGATTGATTGCATGAAACCAATCTTCTTGCATTATTCTAGAAATTTCAGGTATATTTCTATTAGCTCCTATTGCAGAAGGAATTCCGATGAGAAATCAGAGAAATAACCAAATTTCAAAAATGAAAACTATGTGAGTGACTATAGTAGGTACTTACTTACTTTTAAATCATAATGTACCATCCGGATTCCTTCATCTTCCGCTGCAGTTTTTGTGCATTTTACAACAGCACAATGTGATGGCATGAGCGAATTGATGAATAGCGGAAAAATACGATTCATATGCCAAGATAATTGTGGAAAACTATTTCGATCTCTTGTAAACAAATAAGAAAAGTGACGTTGTGTTTCAATGTTTTGCCTCCAGCGTCGATCATCTGAAAGTTCTTGCACGCAACCCATGGTCGAAGTTAAAATGCCAGATTAATCTGTCAATCAGCTCAAATGCAAGATTAATCTGTCAGTTAAGCTCTAATTGCCTTTTAATGCTTAGCAATACGCCATCTGACGGAAAAAACTCGCATCAATATCATGTGACCAGCAAGTGTGAATTGTTTGTTTACGTTTACACCATCACAGCATTGTGCATTTGTGTGATGATAATAGTTGTTTTATTAGTGATTATTGATAAGAGTGAAAATGACCAGCAGAGCAAATTGTTGTGCACCTGGATGCAACTCTGTGTATATAAAAAAACAACTTGACTTTTCATCATTTCCCAAATGAGGGTCAGAGAGTTGAGAATGTTGGAGAATCTGGAATGGCAACTTTGGTTGATAGGAAGAAACTGTGGGAGATCAAATTGAAAATCGGAAAATAGGAAGAAGGGTTACCAAAAACTTGCTCCAAACATTTTGTTGAGGAAGATTTCATGATTCCTAGTGATTGTTCCTCATAGGCTATAGCCAGATTATAGTGAATGCAATCAGCAGTCACACTTGGCGTCAAAATTCTTAGTTTTTTGACAGAATGACAGTGCAAGAGAATGAAGGTCAAAAGATCAATTGCAAAATGAATCTGTCAAATAAGCCTTAGTTGTAAGATAAATCTCGCAATTTTTTGCTATGTCCGTTCAGCGCCTTCGTAATTTCCACTGTTTCAGTTGGATGGACGCATATATGACGCAAACTTCACCTACACCGCCGGCGGTGTGGGGCGCAACATTTGCGAAGCGATGTCCAAACTGGGTTCCCCGCCGGATTTCCTGACGGTGCTGGGCGACGATCACCAGGGAAGAACGCTGCAGGACCGCATCCCGGAGGAGTGCCGACGGTACGTGCGGACCACGAAATCGCGGAGTACGGCCCAGTGCACGATCGTTTTCGACGGCAGTGGCGGCTGCAGGATGTTGATGGGCGACATGGAGATTCACAAGGAGATAACTCCGCAGATGGTGAGTAACAGAGATTACAGGCATCCCAGCATATTGTCACGATAGGAACCAAAAATATTTATAGCTACTATTCAAAATTATATTGATGCAAGATTCATTAAGAAAAGTTCATTATTCATTTTATCGTATAACATTCGATTAAAGGAACGAGTATAATGTTTCACTCACGTTGGCAGCTCATTCAACCGGAATGAAATACCCGCATATGGAGTAAAACGCTGACTATATCAAAATATTCTAAATAAATATCGAACAGCCGATAAGGCAAGGGATCAGTTTGGATCTGATCAGCTAGCCTTCACTATATGGTTCATCCCTTTCATCCCCTGCATCTGCTAGAGATCATTTTGTAAGTACTACTGTCACAATCGCTATGTTGTCAAATTATTAAATGTTTCTTTTCATTGCGAAGTCTGATGTATTTACGTTTGCATTGAATCTCGTTTGAAATCACTAATGAAACTAATTTCTTTCAATAAACTGTAGCTTTATAACGAACAACTGTTTTGATTTCTCGGCCTCCCAAGCGAGTTCACCCCCGAGTCACCACCCTGTAGCCATGGGTCCGTGGGTCGTGACAATATAATTATGGTCGGCCTTATGCTGGTCCATGGGACTGTTTCAGTGAAGAATTTGATTTCATTATTTCGAAGTTCTAACCCTAACTAGTTCACAATTGCAAACCTCTTTTTCCTCATCAGAGCTCTCTGTAACTTTTTTGAATTATCATTGAAATTCACGATATTTCATAACATGAAAAACGCGGGAAAACGCGTGATGTATAATCATCCGAGACACACAGTATATCATCCTTTTACCGATATCTGATGGACAAGTGCAAAAATATGTCTGATTGTCATTTTCTGGATTGAATATACTTACTGCAGGTAACAGAGAATACAACACACAACTAAAGAATCAGATATAATATGAGGATTATCTTTGAATATTCGCATCTTGACAAGATCAAGCAAGGATTTGACGATGAAGGTGACAGCCGATATATTAACGTCAGGAAGTTATCTTTCTCTCTCTCTGAATATATGGCCTCTTATTGTCTTACGACATACAGCCAGAGCCCTTATTACGGAGAATCCGTCCCCATCCGGCCTGGATACCGGCGTAAATAACAAGGGTTTTGTTTTTCGAGCACCCTGGATGTCTCACTATATATATTGACCTATAGAGACATAAATTGGTCCTGCTTTGAGAACAGCTATGCTTCATTCTCTTGATAACTTGGGATTTTCAATATTTTCATATAATCTATCATTTATTTGGAATATTTTGAATGTTTCCCATGAAACATGAAAGAAATTTTGGGATTTTTGACTTCCATAAAAAAAATTAGTGGTTTATCACTCTCTTAGTGATCACCCAGTTAATTTTCTGACAAGGGCTGTGACTATGGGTGTGCCTCTTTGCTCTTTGATGGATAACCCTGTAGGTATACTCATATTATAATTGAAGACACTGTTTTGTTAAACTTGTTACAGATACAAGAGAATGAAAATGTCCTGAAAAATTCAACAATGATCATTCTTGATGCTAATTTGTCATTGGAAACAATGGAAGAGTGTCTAAAAATTGCAGAAAAATACAGAATTCCAGGTAAGTCACCACTACTTTATAAGATTGAATAATATATTAAGGGTTGGTCTTACAGAAAAATGCTGTAGCTCCAAAAAATATTTATTGTGCATATTAGCTTTAACAATATAAAATAGACCAAAACAATTAATGATAATAATGTAAATCTATGGACGGATAAAGAAGTAGATACTTCAAGTACTATTTATTATAAGTAACTAGAATGACAACATATAATTATCAAATTCCAATGAAGCTAACATTTTTCTTAATATTCACTTCAGAAGAAGTAGTAATTATTGAAGTCAAACACTCTGAATCATTCATAGTGAAGTAGCAAATTTCCATACAGCTAAATTTGAATTGTGAGTGATCACAAATTGAGTGGACCCTATTATCCCAAATATGGGAAGAACCTATAAATTAGATATGAGATTCATATGTCTGTCTATATCACATATCACATGCATACAAACTTTGTTCATATTAAAAAATTACAAAAAACTATTCCAAACAAAATTTTATGTTTACTAAATTGAACCCCTACAAAGGGAGAAATATACTTTTTTACTGCATACCCCACCCCAATCTATGCTGAGGATTGGGGTGCATCTGCATTATCAAATTCTTAGACTCTCTACGTCTCTCATAGCTTTGCTGTGCCTCTTTGTATAGAAAGAAAGAAGCAAAAACATGGAAAAAGAATGATAGACATGCCATACCATAAGACCAACAAAGATAGTTGAAATTTGGATACATTAGCCAGTCACGTCTTGCATGGGATCCTCCAAATATTACTATTGCCAAAAACATGAAAACAGCTGAAAAAGAAGCATAATCATTTTATTACAAGTATAAATCAAGGAGGATCAGTTAATATGGGTTGGGAATCTCACCAAACAAACTTTAGTCATTTGGTGGATGGATTAAACCAAAATAGAATGCCAATGAATTTCAGGAGTGGGGCAATCAATCAATTATTCAGCTGTGTACTTACATGTGGTTGCTACACATACAAAATCAACAGCAGACAATATCCATTCTCTTTGCAACACCAACTCTAGAGGCCATCTGCATAGTTGTAGAGCCATAACAACTTGTGCCCCAAAACTCAGCAAAAATGACATGGTAACAAAAGCTTGAGTGGTCATCAACCATGGTGGTAGCAACCATTCTCTGATAACATAGAACTCTTGGCTGAAAACGTGGTGGCAACCGTGAAAGGGATGATCGAATTGGTAGTAGGGGTAACGGAACTGATCAAAGCAATATTCCCACAATCCCATATTCTTGAATTCAGAAAAAGTCTCATCATATGACTTAACCCAGTAAGGACTGCAGAACGCTATCATCAGGAACATACCAGCTATGTAAGTCAAGAGGGCCCCATTTACTAGCTCACCTATCAAAATGTTCATGAAGGTTCCATAATTTGACAACAATGTTTATGTACTTACTTGATGCTTTTGGGTAGTTGTTCTTCTCATTGATCCTCATGGTGATCTTCAATATTAGTTATTGGTTACTTCAGACTCAAGAATAACAGTCAAATAGAAAATACATACGATTCCCTGAGATGCACTCATGAATACAATCCACGCCCTTTTTTGGTTTTTATTTATGATATTATGATATATTTTATTTATATTTGTCTTGACAGTTTTGACATTTTGACAAAGACAGCAGTGACCGTTCCATTACAACTTCTTCTTTTTTCTTTCTTTCTTCTTCTACGTTTTTTGGCCTCTTGTCCAGATTGGACATCCAGTCAAAACTTCTTCTTTTTGTTTGGGAAGCTACTCTTCCATTCTTCCAAGTACTTTACATTGGTCTGTGGATTGCAGTGATACTATAGTCTTTATGGCCACGATGATAATAATAAGAAGAAGTTTTATTTATTTTTGTGTTGTCAAAAAAATGTTAAAAAAATGAAATTTCAAGCTTTGTTATGAAATGTTGAACTCATAAGTCAACATAATCTATTATCTATCGGTCTATTCACTTTTCATAAATTAAAAATTCATCAAAAGCACGAAAATATCAAAATGATTCATAAATAGTCAAGATTTTAAACCATAACACTTCAAAGAAGTTAATTTATGAAGTTGTTAATGGTCAAAATGCTGTCGCGAATGTGTTCAATCTGCTTGGAGTCCAGGGAAAGCATCAGAATAGTACAAGAATCAGACGAAAATGGTTTGCAACTGTCTATGAAATTAAAATACATAGCTCCAGAAGTGGTCAGTATGATTATGTTATCATCTTTGCCCAACTAATGTTGAACTCTTGTAGGATTGGTTAATTGAATACAAAATATGTGAAATCTGTGTGAATGAACTCAGAAATGCCTGTAGATTCCGGGAACAGTGCCTCAAACTATTGAATGACGTCAAATCAGAAAAATTTTGTCATGAAACTGAGGAAAATCGCATACCTACTCCCACAGTTGTTGATGCTTGTGATGATGCTTGTGATGATGATTCTGACAATTCATCAGATGATTCCTCAGGACCCAAAGAAGATCCGCCTGTTGAAGAAGAACAGGAGGAGAAACAAGTCTTCATATGCTTTCACTGCAATGCAAAGTTTGTCCTAAAAAAAGAAATCAAAGAACACATCCAAAAAGAACATACAGACAGGCAAGACTCAGTTAAGTACAAAAGAACTGAGGAATGCCTAGAGTGTGGAAGAAAATTTGCTAAAAAGGAGTCTCTCAAAGAGCATTCTATGATGTGTGATGGGGTTAACAGGCATAATACAATGAAGCGTAATCATCAATGTGATAAATGTAAAAGATTTTACACAACAGAAAAGATTTTGAAAGCACATAGAAAACGTTGCATGAGGAATATCATTGGAGACTTTGATGATTCAGACAAAGAGGATGATTCTAGGTCTAAAAAAAAGATAGTACGCAGAAGAAGAAAAAAAGATGAGAAAAAAGAGGAAAGTGGCCCTTTGGTCTGTAAAATGTGTGATCTTGCCTTTGAATCTCTGCTAGAGCTAAGAAAACATGTATCATTGGATCATAAACAAGAAAGAATAGGTCGTTTCACCACATTTACATGTGATATCTGTTCCCAGCGTTTCAACTTTGTGAGAGCAATCATTGATCATTATGTTAAAGCACATGCTATTGAAGAAAAACAAGTAAAACCATATAGCTGTGATGTTTGCAAGAAAAGATTCCGTGTGTCTACTAACTTAACAATCCATAAATTACATCATGAGGGTAAGAGAATGAACATATGCAGTATTTGTGGCAAAAGTTTCATCACCAAGCATGATCTTCTGAGACATGAGATGATTCACTACAGTGAACGTAACTACAAGTGTGACAAATGTGACAAATCATTCAAAACTGATGATAACCTTAGGAAACATTGCCTGATAGTGCACACAGACCAAATGCTGTGGAAATACACCTGTCACATCTGTGGAAAACGCTTCCCTGTCAAGTCCAATCATGATATCCATGTCAGAAGACACATGGGAGAGAAAAACTTCAGTTGTTCTTTGTGTGGGAAAGCATTTGTGACAAGAAAAGAGATGCGGGAGCATTTTGGCAACCACACTAATGACAAACTTTTCAGATGTGATCAGTGTGGTAAAGAATATAGAAACAAGAAAGGCTTGGACATACACTTGACCAAGGCCCATGGTATAGGCAATGCTAAGATACCAGTGCGTGAAAGGAAACATGCTTGTCATATATGTCCTGCTAGATTTCCTGATAGATCAAAACTTGCTAGGCATCTTAGTGTTCATTCTGGGATAAAGCCATTCTCTTGTTTCTCATGTGAAAGGAAGTTCACTGATAGATCTTATTTGAAGCAGCATCTACAAAAGTCTCATAATATTTTTGAGGGGCCTACAAATGACCTTAGAGAACTTGGGGGTCCCATGAAGAATGAATTTTATTAGATTTGACACTATTTTTAGTATACTGATTTTTTATTCTCATTATCTATAGGTATTTTTATTCCATAGTATTTACAGTATGATAGAATACAGTAATGATGATTATATACATATTTAAGATCTACCAAGGGCTATTTTATTTAATTCATTAAACATAATAGATCTCTGCAGTCATCTCTGAGCAACCAAGTTTTAAAATAAAGTGTATGTGATTAACTGAAGATTAATAATGATATAGGTGATACTAAATCTGACATGGAATCCTTTTTTTATGGGTCTGAAGTGCTGTCTCTGATATTTATGTATGAGGTTACTGCATTACATTGAATGATCCGCTAATATTCGCGGGAATCAATGTCACCAGGTGGCGCTCGGTGTTCATCGTTCCATGTCAAAGGTACGTCAAAACTGGGGGAAAACAAACTCAATCCTCACTCTAATCCCTTAGTGCCATTAGCTTGTGTGCTGATAAGAGTGATGTTTTTAAATTTCTTGACACATTCGGTCGAAAACAGTAATAATGCCTGTTGGTAGATGTTCTTTTGGCAGATATTTTGCTCTATTTAGACGGAAAAAGCCGACCAGTAGTGGAAGGAGAAGCAGTTCTCTGTGCTAATCATGTGATTTTGTGTGAGGCAGAAGACTTCAACAAAAGGCACATTTTTGCACTTTGTCTACAAACTTCGGCGATGAAATCTTCCACACATGAAGTAAAATTGAAGTTGGGGTCCAGATGAACTCCTGTAGAACAATGGATTGGTATTTGTTCATCAAATCAGGACAATCTGGGTATTGTAAACATGTTGTAGCTGTTCTTTTATATGTCAATTGATTTGCTCGTCATAATTAGTTTGAATTGTTTGAACTATCTCCAATTCTCCACCTGTTCACTATAAACTAATGAAAATGTAATGATGTAAAAAAATTAACCAACTCAACCATCATCACTACCAACAGTGCCAACACTTTATGTCATTGACAAGTTTGACTACAGCTACAGCAAGCTGAATGCAATGTAGAATGTAGTCTATGCACTTTATCCATAGACAACAGTTTGTTTTCCCCCAGTTTGAAGTTCGTATTATGTAACCTAGATGTCGCCCACTTCGTGAATCTCGCGAATTGAGAATCTAAAAGAAAAGTTCCCTGCTAAATCTGACTTCGGATTCTTCCTTTCTAAGTATGAATAATTTGTGTTTATGATTTTTTGGGGATGAAACCGGGTAACTCGGCAGTAATATTGAATGTGAATAATCATATGAACAATATGAACCCTGAAAATTTCAAATTTCTAGTACAAATCACTCAAAAGTTACAGGAGCGACCCTTGAAAACAGATATCCAAGGCGCCGGATGTGAAATCCCTTGAATTGATAGGTATATAGGTAGAGTAAAAACAACAAAACAGCATTTTTTAATTGTTTCATTTAAAACTTATCATCTTTGTAAAATTTTCAAAACAGAAAAACACTAATACTTATATAAAAAAAACTGACATAAAAAACAATTTGTTAAAAAATTCAACATTCTGCTATGAAATTCGTAGATTACGTAAAAATCTAAAAATCGTAAAATATTATTTACATAGCGAGAGTATATTTTAAAAGATGTTGCTTTTTCTAAGAATAATACCTGGAATGTATAAATTGTTCAAATTTATATACCAAAAGTAATTAAGGTACATACAATATCAATGATATTATTGTAAGGACGGATAATTGAGATTCAGAATGTTTAAGTCTTCCTACAACTAGAATTTATAAACAAATGAACACTATAAAGTAAGGCACTTTCTTCTACAATAATAGCTGGGTATGTAATAATAATGAAAATACATAATATAACCACAAAATAGCATTAGTCTTGTGAAAAAAAAATTATCAAAGTACATATTATAATTTTTCAAAAAATTTAAAAAATGCTAGAAAAATTGATGTAAAAGTTAAAAAGGATTGTTCTGAAGAGTGTATTTGATATGTGCTCTCTTTGTATGTACAGAAAAACTATAATATAATGACTCATTTGATAAATTTATTCTTACATTGCGTTATAAAATCAAATTTTTATGGTCTGCAAATGTCAATTGAAAATTCCTTTCATTGTCAAAAAGTCGCTATCTTGGTTAATTTGTTGAAAAAATCACCACATAGAAAACCTCGTTTTGAAAAGAAAAATTCGTATAAAAATTGGTCATAATACTATATCAATTTTTCGTTTCAACTTGAACGCCATGTATTACTTAAAGGAAGCATTTTATGACGGCCGCTGCTTTGGGTAACGGTTGCGAAATTCAATGTCACGTATTATATGTTTAGAAAAAAAAATGGTTTTACAATGAAACATCTGGGTTCCTCAGGAAACATATGCTTGGGAAATCATGATTCAAAATAAAATATTAACCATTACCAAACTGCATAGTGACAATTCAATTGTTACAATTCAATGGGCGAATTGAAAGGTGAAGTGGGCACAATTGAAGTGTCAGAATTTTACGAAATTAGTTGTAATGATTGTGAAAAACATATATCGGCCAAACTAGGCGATCGCTGGGAGCAAGGTTCAAAGAACATATTACACATTTGAAATGTGGTAGATTAGATGAATCAAGTGTAGCTGAACATATGTTCAATCACAATCATAGCACACACAGCAATAACCTTAAATTGGTCAAACAAATTGATAATTTTTGAAAATCAGATGCATATATGAAATCCCTGAAATAGTGAAGAATAATAATAATAGTTATATGAATGAGGATAAAGGACCTATATTCTTTGTATTGTTCAGTGATTTAGGATCTGGGTTCACATATTGTTATCTCAGTGTCTTTCACGGTTAGGTGAACACACCCAGCCCAAGTAGCACAAATCTTGGCAGGATATTGGCTCCAAAATCTTGTGCCAATTCAGGACTAATTTCCAGCCAAGATTATGTGTTACTGAGGAGGCAGGCATTCTAGAAAAGGGGTAATTGGTTTCGATCTTTTGCTGAAAGAGATCAACAAAACAACAGACATACCCTCTCTACCCCTTGTGCTGCTCGGGCTCCATCTTGGACCGGCTCTGGGACTCCGTCATCTTCTTTTTCTTATGCCATCCAGCGCGAAGGACTAGCAATAGCAACAGCAATTTTTCTCATAAATAACTAGTTAGTTTTTGTTTCAACACTTCCTGACAAGTCCAGATATTTCAATCTGAAACCCTCATCATATTTCTCGATCACGAGAAGCGGTAGCGGAAAAAATGGCAGTAATACACAGTATAACCTCCTCCTAAAGAGCAATACTAAAAAAATCACAAGTGACATCCTCACCCCAGACAGCACCAGATATTCCATGAATATTCATAGAATATTCTTTTTGGATATTGCGAATATTCATGAACATGCCAGGGATATACATATCAACTATGGAATATTCCCTGAATGTGCTGGTGGGGAAAATTTTGTATATTCCCGGAATATTACACAAGGAATATTCCCTATATATTCAGAATGTACCTATAATATTCTAGGAATATTCAGATAATATTCGGAATATTCCTGGAATAATACAGGAATATAAATAAATGAATATTCCGGGAATATTCCGTAATACATATTCATAATTAAAAAAAGCTGACCCAAGATGGGCTCGAACTCGGGACTTTCAGACTGTCAGATCAACGCCTTAACTACTTGGCCAGTAATCGAGTTGAATAATAATGTACATAACAATTTATTGAATTGCGTTGTTCAGAAGGGAACCATAAACACTTCCAGTTCCATATGGGCTCTTAACATGTACGATGATCTGATTGAGTACTTTGATCACTATCAAAATTGTGGAGACGACTTTTTGTTTTTGATCCCTGGTAACATAACCACTTCACTTTGAAATACGATGGACTTTTACCACAGATTTCAAAATCAATGTTTAATACTCACATCTATAAAATTGTGATTGGTTAATTTTCATACTTTACAATTTCATTGAAACACATGGGAATATTATTGAAATATTCCATGAATATACAGGAACAGAATATTCAATTGGGAATATTCCTGGAATATTCATACTGGAATATTTCCTGCACTATCCAACTGGAATATTCTAGGAATATTCACTTCAGAATATTCCTTCTGGAATATTCCCTGTATATTTATTTTGGAATATTACTAGAATATTCACATTTGAATATTCCTTGAATGTTCCAGAGGCACGTATATATTCTAAGAATATTCGAAGGATATTCGGAATATATTCTTCCCTTTTAGCATATTTAGAGAATATTCTAGGAATATCCAGTGCTGTCTACCACCCCTTGTGCTACTCGGGCTCCATTTCGAACCGGCTCTGGGATTCCGTCACCTTCTTTTTCTCATGCCATCCAGCGCAAAGGACTAGCCGAAGAATGTTGAAGTGGCATTTTAGAATAGTATAAGAAGCCGCATTCTTGAATAGGAGGATAAGTTTTAATCTTCTGCTGAAGATTCTGACATAGCGATAGGCCTTGATCGATCGGTTTGGTTGGTTGTAAAACAGTGCAGAGCAATTTTTCTCACAAATAACTAGTTAGTTTTTTTAACATCTCCTGACAAGTCCAGATATTTCAATCTGAAACCCTCATCATAATTCTCGATCATGAAAAGCGGTAGCGGAAAAAATGGCAGTAATACACAGTATAACCTCCTCCTAAAGAGCAATCCTAAAAAAAACACAAAACAACAGACACCCTCACCACCCCTTGTGCTGCTCGGGCTCCATTTCGAACCGACTCTGCGACTCCGTCATCCGCTTCTTCTTCCTCCTTTGCACGTACGCGTCGACGAAGAACAGCGTGGCGGCCACGAGGCTGGCCAGCACCCCGATGCAGGCCAGCGCGAAGGACCACCCGAAAAAGTTGTTTTCGTGGCCGGGCATCCAGCCGTTCTTGTTGCCGAGCACGGCGAACACTATGACGGCGATGGCTCCGCTTATCTACAGAAATGATATTTTTTAAATTTTGACATCTAATTTGACACTTTACAAAACTGACGAAAGTTTTGAAACGTCTTATATTCCGTAACCAGTTGCGTAAAGAAAAATATTACATAACTGGTAATGAAATGTTCATTGCATCACCTAATGACCATCAAAAAGGGTCTTTGATCCTCTTCTTCACTAATATAATTGGTGATAATTTTCAAACAGTTGCTTCGATTTATTCAGAATCGGGAAACCCAGGACCGTTCTTGGAAAATTTCGCTAGTTTAGTTTATATCAAAAAGTTCATCATGTATATGGTTTTTCCCTAGGGAATTTCCAGAGGTCACAAACAAGCATCAAGAATGAAATATTCAAAGTTTTCCTCACACTCTCACTGAATTTGTTGAATAACGATGAATTGTAAGCAAAAACGAAAGTTTGACAACAAATTTATTTATTTGAAAATCGTCATTCTATTTTTCTGTGGAGGGGAATTACCACCCTGTAGATTTATTTATCTCGAGATTTATTCACAATTTTTCAAAAGCTATACTAACCCAGAAAGGATAATTCTGTACGGAAAATAAGTGACCAAAATAACTGAATAACACAGTTTAGTTACACAGTGATAACGATTTTGCTTCTGCAATCTACACTGGCAATTGAAATGATTCAAATCTTTTATATTTTCGAACTAGAGCAATAATTAAGATATATTTTCGTGGAAAACGATGCTGTAAACAATGTATCTATACAGAACTAGCTGTGACCACGCAAATGTTGTTTTGCTATATATACATTATTTCTAGAAAACATTTCTTCAGTTGAATTTTTATCAACACACTATTATTATTATTATTATTTTATTTTCTACTTCTTTTTACTTTGGCTATCTATAAAGGTGTGTTTCTTTGGTTTTTCCTACTAACATTTATCTTCTACCTACTCCTTTTTATAGTTCACTTGAATTTCCCAACTTTGACGAGAGAATCATAATCTCCGACTGCTAAAACCCCAGATGAAAATTTTGAATAGAATCGAATCATAATTACAAAACTCGTCAGGCGTATTGGATCCGCCATCTTGAATTTCGTAATTTTTACGAAGGAATCATAATTTTCGATTCCAAAAACTCCCACTTACAAATTTTGAATTGAATGGGATTATTAATTACAAAACTCGTCTGCCACATTGGAATCGCCATCTTGAATTTCCTAATTTCGACAAAAATCATAATCCACGATCACGATAACCCCTAAGGATACCAATTTCGAATAGAATCGGATTATAATTACAAAACTCGTTCGCCATATTGGTTCCGCGTCATCTCGAATTCCCAAATTTGCAAGAACTAATCATAATCTCTGACCACTCATATTCCCACATACCAATTTTGAATCGAATCATAATCACAAAACTTATCCGCTATATTGGATCCGCCATCTTGAATTTCTCAATTTTGCCGAAGGAACCATCATAGTCCCCGATCCCGAAAATCTATAGATACCAATTGAGCTCTTTTCTACCTTGAACGAGAGAGAAGAAAGTTCTCTCCTCTTTCATCTTTCTCTTCAATGCTACCAACATGGCCGCATTGAAATATAGAGAGATCCGATAAATATTTCCTTGTCTGACCTCTAGTCTGACCTCTAGTCTGCACCACTGAACTATTTTCAATGTTATAATGTTGGAAAATAGCTATTTTTCATAAACTTCACAAAGAAACGAACATCTCAATATAGGAAACTTCCCCAGTATTTTTTTGTCGGTGAATGTTTCTCGATTTCGAAACTTCCAAATCAGAAATGTTCAATGGTGAAGACCAGTGAGAGAAGAAATCCGTGCAAACCTCTTTCAATCGACGAATCATGATTCACGTTTGATGTACAATCAATATTATGAGTTGAAGTTGAAGGGTATCGAATCTATATCGTTCTGAAATCAGCATATTTCATTCGATATTTTAAACAGCCAAATATGATGGTGGAGCCGTGACGTATTAGTCCCGAGCTGTAGCTATCTCTCTCTGATACCTCGTGTTTCTTCAGTGTTGCAGTGTGATTGGTCAGTTCAAGGACAATAGGCTAAGACGTAGCACCAGTCACACCAATGAATTGACAAAATCTCAAATAGCACAGGAATTGTGTGTTTCGAAATGGACATATTCTAATTTATTTTTTTCACCGTCTTAGCATGAATGACAAAATTCAAAATTAATTCGCTGGTAGTTTTTCATTATAGAGTTCACGATAATGTCGTTTTAAAAAATCAGTGGTCTCATTATTTCAATCGCTTACCCCTCCGGCCAGCAGCAGCCAAGCGTTCAGCGTGATGAGGGTGATGTGCTGCTTCTGATCTGGCCCGCAGCACAGGAAGTAGATGAGAGTGAGCACGGCGCCGAGCAGCACCGAGATGAAGCACAGGGTGAAGAAGAACTGCGTGGCGACCATGAAGTCGGGCACCAGGAAGCCCCTGATCTCGTCGTAGCCGGTGGTGAAAGGGTCGTAGATCCAGCGGCAGCCCACGAAAAACCTTGGGAAATTTCGATTCATTTCGTGCGCCTCTTGGTTTACTTTTTGGAAAAAGTTTTTGATACCTACGTATTTCTCTCCGAGAAACATGAATTCGATAATGAAAATGTGAAAAAAGACACTATTTATCGACATATCTCAAGAAAGAATTTCTAGGGATATCCTGTAATGTACAAAGATCATCGTGAGAACCAAGGTAAATGAGGTAGGAATTGGTGTTATTCTTAAACTTCTGGAGGATATATGCCTCGGGGAACACCTCCCTTGGTAATATGTTCCAGAGCCTCGCTGTTCGTTGGATGTACGAGTCTTTGAAAAGAGATGTTCTGCAGGTCTCCGAAGTGACCACGAAGGGGTACGAAGCCTCAACACGACGGGTTAATCTCGCGGGGACTGCCAGGGGTGGAACAATTGTTGATATTTCAGAAGAGCATCGTCCATGAAAATATCCTCGAAAATATCTATAAAATAGAGCCAGATCGCCAACTTTTCTACGGTGTTCCAGAGAAGTGAGTGAGTTTGTGAGCGGGGCATCACCCACGAGACGAATTGCCCTTTTTTGGACAGAATCCAACAGTTTCAGGGTATGTTTGGGTGCTGCACTCCAAATATGAAAACTATTCCAGGACAGGTCGGATCTGTGCCTTATAGATCATAAGCAGCTGACTGGACGTGAAATAGCTCCTGTTCCGAAATAGAAAACCAAGTTTCTGGGATGCACTTTTACCGATTGATCTCACGTGATTTTCCCAAGAAAGGTTATTGCTGATAGTAATACCAAGCATGGAAATGGATGTCTTCAAAGGTATGGTTACTTCTGACAAGCTCATGCTGGGCACAGTGAGATCGGCTTTTCTAGAAAAAAGGCATGCTTGTGTTTTGTTTGCATTGCAATCTACCAAGTTATTGGACCCCATTCAAGAATTGTTGCCAAGTCCCTATTCATTCCTCGTTTGTTTTTGATTTGCCTGGCTGGTATTGGAGTCCTGGAAGAGAATATTCATTCCTCGTTTGTTTTTGATTTGCCTGGCTGGTATAGGAGTTCTGGATGAGATGGCAGTATGGAGGGCACCATCATCCGCGAAGCTGTGTAGTGGACATGAAGTTGCTTCCAACAAATCGTTGATATGGAGTAGAAATAGTGTTGGTACTAAAATAAATCCTTGGAAAACCAGCATTTACGATATGAGAGTCAGATGAAACTCCGTCGACCGCTACATGGAGAGACCGGTTTGAGAGAAAACTAGCTAGCAGAGAACATAGCTGGGGATAGAGATATACAGGGACTCTAGGAGATATACAGGGACTCTAGCTGGGGAGGCAAGCCATGAGATGGAAGCTTGGCGAGGAGTCCGTGGTGCCAGACTCGATCGAATGCCTTGGAGATATCAAGTGCCACGGCTAAGGTTTCGCCATATTTTCCAATAGATTGCTGCCATATATGTGAGACGGAAGCCACATTGTCTATCGTTGATAATACCTGAACTATTTGCGAGACTATTTGTCCTCTTTCCAATGAGCTCTATATTGAGTTCATTGCCTCTTTCTACACTCCTTACCTGTGGTGGGCCCTGTCATAGCTGTAAGGATCGGAAAGGGAGCGGAAGCAGTGCGTCCATAATCCGAGGCGGTCCAGCTTGGCTCCGGTGATACGATAGTCGGACACCAGCCAGCTGGGGGTGGAAAAAGCTACCGCTATGAGGACGAAGGCCACGACGAAGAAGCCGATGGCCACGTTGCCGGCCAAAGACCGTTTTTTAATCTGGGATAAGATGGAAATTAATAGCGTGTTAGACTGGCTGCACTACTGCGCATTCAATTCCAATACTTTTGTCGTGCGTGACCTCCATTAAGCTAGCAGAACCACTTTAGGATCCCTTGATGTAAATTGACGTATTTGTCATCTAAACAGGGAACGGACAGATCCTCGTCTCCTCTTATTCTGAAGTATTTGTGAAACAGTTATACAGGGTGACATAGAAAAAAGTACATTGCATAGTGCCACACAATAGAGAACACTAAAATAAGGAAAAAAGTTCCTATGAACATGGGTCCGCAAGGCCTTCGGTTAAAAGATACGGGGTGTTGAATTTTAATGGAAAAATGTATTGAAGTACAAGGGCAACAATTTGAACATCTTCTAAAAACTCAATGTTTTGTTCTAATTAATCATATTTTTCATCATACCATTAAAATGTAATTGTTGAAGTATTTATCATTGTTTTTGCAAAAGTTACTTTGGCGTTTTTTTAATAATTTGCGCGCATTGTCGGCTTTTAGATGCATTTGTACTGGAACCATTGCTTCTAGCGACTTGGACAAGGTATACCTTTCTTAAGTATAAAAGGAGGGATAACGAATTTTGTCCGTCGAAAATGACATACACTGTATAGCAAAAAAGTTACGACCGATTCAATAGGGATGGAACCCTGTATGTAGCGTCCTCTATCAGTCATCACAAAACTAAGATCATATTTGAATTTAGCATGATAAAAAACCCCTGTATACCACATTTTATCCATTTCTTGCGTCTCTGACTAAAGATATTCAAAGAGAACCCATAAAAAAATTCAACACCCATGTTCATAGGAACTTTTTTTCTCATTTTAGTATCCTCTATTGTGTGGCACTATGCAATGTACTTTTTTCTGTCACCCTGTATAGTTCCATCTTTATTCATTTCTGGGAATATACACTAGATTCCTGACATTTATTGTTTCATAGGTTATGTTATTATTGAGGACATTGGCGTATCATACATAATTTCCACATGGCATATTATATCCAAATAAAGATGAAAATTTTCGAGTTTTTGATTTTTCAACTCCAGCATAATCTTTGTGAGGCAGTGTGCAAATTTTTTTGAAAGTTTAATACGTTTTACCAAATGGGACTGTTCTTAGGTAGTTCTTATCAAGAGATGAATTTTGATTTCAGACTAAGCCTTATGGTTGAGACATGGTGAAAAATGTTATGTAGGTATTTCAACTAATGTGCTCACATGTCATGTGTGCTGTAAATATTCATGTTGAGAATCATTTTTGCAGTTTTTCACGAACACTTATTATTTCCTGAATGTACGTATAATGTTTTAAATGGTAGGGCATATGCCTATTCTTTTAATCCTCCGTTTTAATCAAAGCCGTTTCTACTAAAATGCATAAAAAACTTGTGGAGTGGATAATTATAGGCACAATGTGAGAAAGTATAATATGTGATTTCGTATTATAAATAGTTCACTTTCCATTTTCTAAGTTCATTTGCATTTGATGAAAAGCTGACAAATTCAAATTTGCCATCCATCTGATTGATACAACCTAACGCAGCACATTTTACCATCCTTCCAAAACTGAATTGAATAATGTCGTATTAAGATCAAGTATGAAATTAAATTTTTGTAAGATCTCTTTTAACGCCTATGAAATGTATGACGTGACAGCAATGTCATGTCAGGACACGAATCCAAAGTCACTAGATGATTAAAAGAGAAAGGAGCTATGATCTGTCCGTACCTTGTTAGACTCGTTGTTAGATGACAAAAACGTCAGTTTGCATCAAGGGACCCTAAAAAACCACTTCGCAAATAAAAGTTCAATCACAAAACTTATTATGACATAATTTAAGGCTAATTTAAGGGTCTAATCCTCGCCTATTGCCAATGTTTTCACACATTGTTTTGAAAAAAAATCATGGGTTTTGCTAGCCTAACCGTCAAGCTAGCAGAACCAAATCTCAAATAGAAGGAATATAAGAATATTGAGTACACCATTTTAAAATTCCGACTTATATCTCGGAATTTTACATTCAAACTTCCGAGTTATAAACTCAGAATTTTAAATTTCCGAGATATACCTAAGTCGGAATTTTAAAATTCCGTGCAATAAGTCGGAACTTTAATGTGAAATTCCGAGTTATAACACGGAATTTTAAAATTCTGAGTTATAACTCGGAATTTTGAATGTAAAATTCCGAGATATGAGTCGGAATTTTGAAATTCCGAGTTATAACTCGGAATTTTGAAGAGTTGCTTTTTTTTTATTTTACGTGTCTCTTCCAGGCCTTCGTAGAAAACATACCAACCATGTTTCAGAAATTATCCCAAAACTCAGCCTGAAAACTACCCCGAAATAGATGAAAATTATATAAATATTATTGAATGCAATATTATTGAGATATGTTATTTGTGATGGAAAAGCGATGTTTTGAAACGAAAAAAAAAAAGGTTCCTCAAACATGGTGTGATAATAGATACACCACTAACTTCTGGTGACATCTAAATATAGATTATGTGTGTTGTTGTGACTGGTTGGTGGTATCTCGGGGGGGTCTGCTGTCCATTCAATCGGCTTTCCTTGGTACCTATACGAATCTCTATCAGACTGAGATCTGTTACTCGTATTCATCAGAAATTATGTAGTGTGTGTCGGCGAGATGTAAGCTAACCAATAATAGTTTGATTGCAATGTAAGGAATATTTGCAAATTTAGCTTCACTTTGTTGAGTAACGTATATTCATGTATTCTTTTTCACCAAACAAGAATCGAAATAACACATTTTTGAAAAATTATCGCATATGACTGCTTCAGTACATCACAGGGATGCATCATTCGTGATATCGCATTGTTGCCTCATCATGACATCTTAGAGATGTCATTCCGCAGATGTAGCTTATGTATATCGCAGCGATGTAACATTCGTTTCGTAATATCGCAGTGTTACCTCTTATTCGCGACATCTCAGAGATATATCATGTCACAGATATGTGTTGGCTGACATATTACTTATATATAATTCGAGATATAATATTGTACCAGTATGATGAAAACAATAATTTCTAAAATCAAAATCACCTACATCATAGCCTACATTGAAAACAAATCACCTTGTGCATTTTTGGACAAGAAGAAATAAACGGTATATTCAGTTTTCCAATTTCAAACCAAGTTTAATGTGGCTTTTCCTAGGCAAGGGTTAAACATGGAAATGACTCAAGATAACACAATTATAAATGAAGGCAATGATTAATAAACAAGGCGTAACCTAATTCTTACCTCGTCGTCGTTATAATCACCCATTGAATCCATAAACACAAATCCACTTGCACAAGAACACTACCTATCTTTCAGTAATTTCGATGTCTATTGTGGGGAATGCAAATTAAGAGAGCATCGATATTGTTTTCAGCGAAATCGGGAAAAGAAACTCAAATCAAACCAATTTAAACGAGAAACAACACAACAAACAAGACATTGTTTATATGCGCGCGACTATGAATTCTGAAAGCGTTGACCACACCTGATACACCTGAAGAAATGCCTCGCTGTGGCAGCGATCCACGAAACAGCACATGAATCATGAATGGCCGTTTTCCATGTTCTATCCTTCTATCTTCAGCAATCTTTCCCTCTCTGTTTCCTATCTGCCAACATCAGTGGCGTGCAATAACGTGAATTTTATAAGCAAATTATTAATAATTATTTATAGTTTCTCAAAGCTCAAAGTGGAGTAGTATATAGGTACCTATCTTGAAGAAGGCATGAAATCCCAGAATCATCTCCATCCCACAATTCAGTATCAGTGATTTACGTTAGGAACATAATATGTTTCGGAATCAAAATTAACAAATCCATCATCAGCGTATGTGACTATTCAGAAGTCCTATAAGTCCTATCTACTGATCCTACAATGAAAGGCATCTGATATGAATGCAGGAATAACTATGATAAGCAATAATATATTGTAGATCATATATCGCTCGATCTACACAAGTACACATGGTAGGTATGTTTCCGTCAAAAACCCTTCCACCAAGGCTATAAAATGATTTTTTTCTGTGATAATGGGAAAAAAGTTTAAAATTTCCTGTGTTGCCAAGTTATTATAAAATGTCACTTTTCATAAATTACTTTTTTCCCGGATATATATATATATACACCAATATACACTGTTAACGGCTTTTGTTTTGCCATATTTTGTTCCGACAAATAAGCCAGAACACAGTCTCCGAGAAAGAATATAACTGCAGGTTGCAGATCATTTTCTTCCATTCGACTCCTAGGAGACGTACATTACTAAACAACCACTAAATTCGCAATTTTTGAAAATCTAGTCACAGGATTATACTGACAGATATTTGCATGATTAAGTACTTCATAACTGTTAAAAACATCAAATTTCACGACGATAAATTTTCTCATTTTAATAAATATAATGTAATATCTTCTCAATATGATTCGTCCATTCTCCTATCACAGAAAAAAATAGTGTATTGTACACGGGAAAAATTTAGATTATAGCTCATGGTTCATTGTCGCCCTCCGACTAATTTTTGTCCCTTGTATAATAAATATAACTATTTTTTTAATACCCTTCACCTATATATAGCTATTTTATTGTTCCATCTTCATGTAGGAATACTTATCCTTACCTAAGTGAATATAACTTTTTTAATAAGCAAAAATTGACAATTGCTGCTTGCAATAAATATCCTATAATAAAATTTCCAGTTTAGAAAGGTGCAACGTCAACTATAATATGTCGATCAGAGATTTTTTTGTTCCATTATAAATAAGGGGGATTATATCATAACCTCAGAATCATTGCCAATTAATTAAAATGTTAACACCTTGTTGTCTTACCCACTATGAAAATGTGACCTCTGCCCATGGATCTAGACAAGGTGCAAGTACATACATAATAAAGTAACTCAGGTACACCAATTATATCATACTATTAAAGCTTCCATATTAATCATCTGAGATAAAACAGTCCATTCATAATAGCATTTCTAGCGTTTCACATGCATATTAAATAAAAAATAATCATAAACCTCAGGAGCTATTATGGAAGTCCAATTATTATGGTCAAGGTTTCGAAAACCTTCTCAATACAGTACACAATGATCATACTTGAACTATTTCCTAACAATTTAAACAACATATTATAGGTATGTAAAAATATTTTTATTTTGTACAATAATTAACAATACCATATACTGTTTTTCAAACAGTAGTTAACTACACATCATATGCAAATAAAAAATATAAAATACTTTCTAAAAACTCATAAATATATAACCCAAAATGGACGGATGATTTGTAACATTCAAAAGTAAAACAGTTAGTTACCTACAGATCCAGAAGCTGGTGGCATATATAAGGTGTTATCAGTAATAGGTCAAAATTCACAAATAATATGGAATATAATGAAAGATTGAGAACAATTTACTTGTTTGGTGTAAGGTATTATAAAGATACCATTTGTTCTTTAGTTAATAAATATGAGATATATGGAGGTAGTGATTAAAATATAAAAGGAAATCCACAACTTTCCTTCTAATTGACTCATATAGGAGAATTTTGATAGCTACTTTTTCTATCAATTCAAGTTAATTTTATAACAATAATTCACACAACTGTATAGATAATACATAGTTTTTTCTAAATCTATTAGCAGAAAATTAATAAAACCCAGTAATCTCAAATCTGATGAGAGTGACAAGGAAATATTGATGATAAACCAAATAAATTTCAGAATAATTTCTTTGTTGCAACCACTTGTCAATATTGTGCAAACCACTTAACAATAATGAGATTCATTAGTGAGTCACAGAGTTGAAACAAAATCCTTCAGCACAATCATATTCAAACACAATATTTGGAATGTGCAATTCAAAAATTCTGTGGCAGGTAATGAAGAAACAATTACATTTAAACATTCAAACAAAACTAAATATCAGTGTGATGGGCAGAAGAAGGTTTCTGTGGTTCCATGGTGTACTCTGCAGGTGGATACCTTGGTTGGGAGCCCCCTAAACGCCTATATCTAGCCCTTCTAGCTTCTACAAGGAAGAGGGCCCCAGCAGGCAATAAAAGCAAAGAACCCACACAAGCTAACCCATAAGACCAACTCAAGTCATTATGTTGCCAATGAGGCATCCAATCACGGTTGTCACCATTGGCACCAAATATACTGACTGCAATAAATCCACAGATTCCAGCCAAAACTAAGTTGCAGCCATTGCTTAAGAGTAATAATATATACTTGTCATGGTCTCGGCTGCAGAAGCAATACATCCAGGTGAGGAATGCTGCTACCAAGACTAGGGTCATGCATAAAGTGAAGAAAAATTGAGTTGTGATGAAAAATCCAGGTAGCAAGAAGTCAAATATTATGTAATACTCTTCTTCAAATACCCACCAACAGCCAGTGAAGCGGTAGTCATATTGATGACGGAAATCTTCGAAGTTTTCAAAGCATACTTCCCAAAGACCTGAAAGAAAACAACATAAAACTTTCTCTTATGAGTCACCTATTGTTGGTTGATGAATGATGAAAGGATAATGTACATATTATGTGGAAATACAGATACAGATTCAAAAGAGACAGTGTGAAAGCTAGGACGTTCTCAATTATCAGGATATCAGTAATAATCAATTTGGTAGTGTGGTAGTAGTTGCACTATAATAGTTGTGGCAACTTTGACCACTCCTCTACTCCTCTTTAGCTGAGCAACAACATTATTGATAAGTACTTTACTCACCGATTCTTCTGAATTTGGGATCCTCTATCTTTCCATCGTTTACCAACCAGTAGGATGTGCAAAAAGCTATAGTTATAAAAACAGAAGCTGTCGCTGTAATGGCTATCGCACAAATTCCTGTTTTTGTTTTCAACGCCATTTTGATCTTTTGATCAATCAAAAATACAAGACAGAAGACACAAGACGAAGACAGACATAAAAAAATCAAAACATTTCTTCTTCTTCTTTTATGTTTTACGTCATTCACGCTATTTTGTCACTCAGGCCAGTAACATGATACATTCTTATAGCTGGCGCTGACTGCTAACATTTCTGCTGGACTCTTTATTATTCCTTTTATATTTTTTCCTATTGTCTTCCTATCTAGAAAAAAATATCTGGCTGCCTGAAAGTTTTTTTTGTTTCAGTATTCTACGAGCCAACAGATATTAGTGTATCCACCAAACCTTTCCAAACGAAGTATTCGCAGGCTATCAAATACATATCGCCGAACTTGAATGAATTGAGATGCATTGCTTCATTCCTCGGCATATCTTCGACTTATCCTTTTAAAATGCAAGAAGCAGCACATATATCGATGAAACTACTGAATTTCATCGACAACATACTTGTAACTCTTGGATCAGACGGCCTTCTAATAGCGCGAAGGGGTTCAGCAACGGATAATTTCCAAGAAAACTTACAATTGAGTTCAGAACATGTTAGACATTATCCTATAGAAGAAATTCATGATCTAGTGAACGTCAGTGGAGCTGGAGATTGTTTTTCAAGTGGTTTCATAGCAGCTGCAATTTCAGGGATGCCCGAAGAAGTGTGTGTGTCGGTTGGTTTTGCTGCTGCTAAACTAGCTTTACAGTGTCAAGCTGCGGTTCCAATAGAAATGTTCGATAAAGGTCACGAATGTTGGAAGACTCCAGCCAAATACCAAACTATATTATAATAATCACTACTTCTACAGGAATAACGCCTCAATTAAATATATACGCGATATAGTATGTTTCTCTGTGGGTATATACTTAATCCAAAGTTTTCCTGAATGCAAAGTATTTAAATCACGACATTTTCAGGTAAGTCGTAAATCAGAGGCCTACTCGATTGTGTGCTCACCTGCTATGGAAACGAAATCATCAACTTGAGCAAGTTCAGCAACATGAACGAACAAACCTAACATTTGACTTGAGCCGTGACCGTTAAAACTTGACTTGTGCCCATCTTTGCACGTGAAAACTTGGACAAAGGCCATCAACGAATATGAAAAAAATAAAAGAAGTAGAAATGACGTAGGGTCATTGAGGTTATCTGTCATCATTCATCCAAATCAAAATATTTGTAGTTTGAATTTAATCGGTAATTCCTATATTTTAATAAAAAAATGTCTGCAGCCATAAGATTGGGTTCAACTCTGAAAGAACTGAGGCTTCACTTGTGTCAAACAGGAGCTGCTAGCAAAGGAGTTAGGTAACTTATCTCGATTTTGATTATGTAACAATGGTTAATGGTTTTACACAGAAAAATTTTTCAGGGAATTTATAGAAAAATACTATGTAGAGTTGAAATCCAATAACCCGAAGTTCCCTATTTTAATCAGAGAATGCTCAGGAGTTGAACCAAGGCTATGGGCAAGATATGGTATGTTTAATAATTACATAACAAGCATATTATATCTTCTGCTCAACTATTTTCAGAATTTGGGAAAGAAAAGAGTGTTTCATTGAAAGATTTATCAGCAAGTGATGTTTTGTTGAGGCTAGAAACAATGTCAAAATAGGAATGCTATATTATCCTGAGTTGTGAATTTGAGCTGTGTCCTGAATAAAAAAACTTAAAATACAGTAATATTACAAATATATTTCTACATTTCAATTTTTCCAAATTAAATTAAGTTTGTAAGGGAGGTAGTCCAAACAGCTGTAAAGGTGCCTCCTCCAATGAGCTTATTGTGATATGAGCTTCTCTTTGCAATTCTTCAGGTACATTTTCATCTGGCAACATTATCACCTGCATGCCAGCTCTGACTGCAGCTGTCACTCCATTGGGAGCATCTTCAAAAACAAGGCACTTCTCTGCATTAGGATTATCTGAAAATCTAAAAAAGTACTTGGTATAGCCCACTTGAGGTATACAGCGATTTTAATATAACCTTGAAGCACACACAAGAAATATGTCTGGATTTGGTTTCCCTGCTTTCACATCTGGGTCACTACCACCACATACAATGTGGTCAAAAAGTTGGAAAATGTTTTGATGATGTGCTGTTTTGAGGTTGAAGCTGTCTTGGGATGAAGATGTTGCAACTGCTATGGGTATCTTGTTACTATGTAGATGCTTCACTAGCAGAGCAGCTCCTGCACAAGAGATTACTTGTTAGTACTCATTTTGATGAAGATCCCTAAGCCAGCTCTGGATACTTTCCTGATTGAAATACTAACCACATGATCAGTACTAGGTGTAGGCAAATTTACCAATATATGGATAATTTCCATGAAAAATCAGAAATAAAATTATGGGTTTATGGATTATATGGATAATAAAGATTCATTGATATTATAGATTTATGGATAATATAGATTTATGGATGCCACCTACTAATCTTCTCCTTTGGAAACAATTTTATAGTTCACTTATAGCACACCCAATGTTCCTTTTCTGGTACTTAATGCAAAAAATATCAATAATGTATGTTGATAAAATTCATAACTTTGATAATATACATATAATCCAAAATACCTATTGCCCACTCCTAATCAGTACCCAAAGAGAATACAAATTTTCTGTTGAAATTGATAAAATAAAAGACCAAAATAGGCCAATCAGTAAGAAATGTAGGTATCCATTTGTTACCTGGCATTAGTTGGACAGTGGTTTTGAATAAATTATGTGCCCTATTCCTGAACTCTGTTTGAAAGTCTTCAACAGAAATTGGAAGCTCCATTTCTTGCACTGCAATTCTTGAAGATTCCCTTTCTGGTGTTCCTATGACTTTTCCCATTATATGGGGTGTGTAAACCTTCCCATACCGGCTTGCTATACTCTGTATAGCATTTTTATACACAATTTCAGTGTCTGTAAACAAAAAATATTTTTATAATTACCTGGCATCAAGTTTGTGTTTTGCATTACAATAGCATATTCTTCTTGGGCTTGTTTATAAAACTCTTCAGGGGTGATTGGCAAATCTAAGAGTTTTACTATTTTCTGAGCTGACTCTGTGCCTGTAAGTCCCATCAGCTGAACTTTAACTGACCAATCATATGTTTTTCCATATTTCCCCACAATTTTTTGAATAGCTTTGGTGTATATGTGTTCAGTATCTAAAACAAGCCAAATAAGTTTGAGGAGAAAATATTGAGGGATTGTTATAGTTGTTGAAGATAATTACAAAAATTGATAGTATTCTTAGGACCCAGGACACAGAATCAATAATTCACGAAATTAGACCTGGATGATCTGAACCCTGTTTGAAAATATTTTATATCAAGAATAATTTGACCAGTGGGGAATATGTATAATAATATAGTGAAATTTTAACAATGAATAATTCATCAGGATCCAAGATTGTAAACTATAGTCGGGAGTTGTAGGTTGTAGAAATAATGAAATTTGGGATGGAAATGAACACCTCATGTGTCCACTATTTCTATTATATCAAACTGCTGGGACTGCTCTTTACCTAGTAAAACTCCATCCATATCAAATATAACGTGAGAAACTTTTCTGAACGTCTTTAGTCCACTCATATTCGAAAACTATAAATAAATTATTGATTATTTATGCAATATTGAACAGTTTACGTATTTAAATACAAACAAACAAAAAACCAAACCAAAAAATTGTTAAATTTTGAGGTTAATGAATAATGATAATCAGATAAATGATATCCGAAAGGGTGGTCTGTGACTGACTGTGACTGCAGTGTTGCCGGAGCCAGAATCCCAAATTATCCGATAGCTACTACCAAATTATCCGAAATTATCCGATTTCAAGAAATGTTGTTCAACGTAGCAGGAATGATACACACTCAGTGCAAAAGTGGTGCAAAAGCAGAAACAATGCATCTGTCAACCACCACGGATACTGTCTACGTCCACTGAACTATAAAAGATTATAGTTCAGTGCTTACATGGTGCTTACGTTCTGATCGATACGCTTAGAAAAAAGAAGTATAAGAGTAGATTTAGGTGATCAAAAAATAAGAGCAGTTAATCCTGACAAATTATTTTTCTGTCTACCCCTACAATGTATAAATACATTATATTGAATATCAAAAATATCGCAGAAGAGACCACAGCACATTTTCATTTCAAACTAGAGATACTAGGTAGAGACTATTCTATTGACTGATTTTTGATTTGAAGTAATATATAGCACAGCTAAAAGTCCAAACGGCGAATACCTATTCAAAATAATAATCTTCACATCACAAAACACATTACAGCACAGGCCCACAGGCCACAGAAACCATAACACATTAAGCCCGTGTCTCACGGTCCAACAATTTGATCAAATATGTTTGATGTGACGTCATTCTTACCTGTTTGACTCAAACGGTTTGATGTGACAAGAAATCTTTGTCACACGATTTGAAGATTTTTGAACAAAAATATTGGTTAAGTAGGTTTTCTAAAATGGAAAAAATCACAAGGGAAAATTAAATAAAATGCATTACATGGTAAGTATTATGTTTTGTATTTGTAATACAAAGTGATTTAGAAATAAGAGGGAGATATGTAGAAGATATTAGCTTCAAAGAAGAAATATTGGTAGATGAGTCCTACCTATGATTTTTGATGGGGTCAGACTGGAAGATATCCCATAGTGAATTTCAAAACTACCTAAGAATTGATGGGAAATGTTTCAGATCTTTATCAGTCCATATATGCGTGTGAACGTATACCTGCAGAAGGTGAGATCATAACAAAGTCTCTACTCAACCAAACATAAATTTGGTATTGGAGCAAGACAAAAATATTCCTCGAATTATCCGAAATGGTCCTCTGTCCAATTATCAGGACAGTTATTTTTGAAGTGTTGATAATATTATTGATAGTATTTCTTGTTAATTCCCAAGATATAAAATAATAATCAATAATCAATGGAGAAAACATGGAAACAAGCATCCTAACCTTATTGTTTGATCCAACACGACAAATATATTAGAACAAGTTCTAAATTTCATCTGCTGTTTGACGTGACGTCACTGATGACATCACAGATCTGTAGTTTGATCAAATTGTTGGACCGTGAGACACAGCCTTTACGCAACAGACACATGACAATGGCCTTACAGAATCATAAAACGTAAAACTGTGGAACTATCTGGAACTAACAGATATTGATTCGTGTCTTGAGCTAGGAATAAGAAGAAGACAAATCTCAAACCACAATCCTTTGGAAGTTGAAAGTTCCGAATATCATCCGAACTCACTACGAATGATCCGAAATTATCCGATAATTTCTTGGATCCGAAAAGGATCCGCTAGCACCTGAAATTATCCGTAAAACGGACAATTATCAGGCAAACGGCAACACTGTGTGACTGTGAACGTGAAACGATACCGACCGAAACTTCTGCCGAAACCGAAACTTGAGGAGTAAAATCACCAGATTTGAAAAATTATCACCCAGGATTTCACAAGTTATGAAATATATCAGAAAAAATTGAAAACTAGGGTATTTCTGGAAAATTATTGCGTATGAAGAGACATTGAGAAGAATGAAATCAAACATAGAACATAGTATAATTATATTTGAATAAATATGTTCCCATTTTTCCAAAACCAAGGTCTGTTCTCAAATAACTACAGTATTGTAAAATTTGTAAACCAGAGTAGATCGTGTAGCACCGATACCGTTCGGTGTTGTACACTTCATGGTGGGTACAGATGACAGCTACAACTACTGCTGAAAGATGAACAATGAAGTGCGGAGTATTCACATTCACTATTTCAGGTTTATACTAGACACATATCAGCTTTTTTTCCCTAAAATGTTCTAAATGTTTGAACATTTTCCACTTATTGACCTTGAAACGAACTTTCTGTTATTACGAGTATTAATTGTGACCAATCAGAATCCGGAGCGTTATGAGCTGAAATGAGAAAAGCTATTATCTGTACCGAGCATCACACTGTATTCGTTCAATGACGGCTAAATATCTAGACTGTCTGACGGGTTATCCCTTGAGTTCAGTGCTTAACCCGTACGAAGGTTGCGCTTGCCTGGGCGGCCTCTAGGCATGTTACCTGACCTGTTACTGCTATTTCAGAACTTTTATTTAATCATTTAATATTCTATCTTGATAATCTAATGATACTAGTGAGATGGCTGATCACAGTATCGGATTCATGATCTTGTTTATGGATTTCCTCATTTGTCTCTACTAACAACTTGAGATGTTTAGAATTAACAACTTTTTTGTTCTGCTGTTCTACTATCACAATGATTCACTAATCACTAGCAGGAATCTTTCTGCTTGGTCTGAACACTAAGCTTAATCACGCCATGTCCACTGTCGATGACATCATGCCTGCGGTAAAAATGAATGCCATCCACTCAAATCCACTGACTTCATGCCTCCCTACTACCCCTCTATCAGTTCGATTAGTAACTTACCCCATCACTAACGGCGCATGCGCTTCGCCAGAGCACACTAGCTAAAAATTGACGTTTCCTAAAAAAATAAAACAGTGTGCACTTGGAGTATGCGCAGGTTTATGATACCGACTCAAGCGACTGTGGTCCGTTCTTCGTTCTCTCGTCGTTTTCTCATGATCTCTCTGACCGGAATGTGAACTTTTCCAGTGCCTTAGCGATGTATTTCAAAGAATAACGAATCTTAACACGAAAGACATCTTATCCGAGTAGAATTAGGCCGAGAATAAGGCGAAATGGCTGTGATTCGAAGGGATGAAAAGTGCATTCTCGTCGAGATGTGTAGAATACAGGGTACAGTTTTGGTGGGTCTGCTCGTTTTGGGGATAGTCGCCGGAGTATCGCGGGCCGAAATCCGGAATTGCGAGGTGATTAGAAAAGACATTGAGTTGAAGCTGAAGCTGCCGGCTTCCAGAGTAACGGACAGAACACCCGGTAAGATTTTTCCACAGTTCCATTGAAAAATAAATTTACAGCAGTATAGGTGTACTTCGAGGGGATGATGTTTAAATAGGTACCTTATACCTTTCCGTAAGGGTCAATACCTACTGTGTTTATACATCAGTGCCTCGACAATAAATAGAATAAGGGTAATATATGTTGCTAATTTCACTGAATATCTTTTCTTTTGATGATATTTGGGCCAAACTTATTATGAATTCATGTGAATTCTGAAAGAGCAGTGATACCTGGTAGCTATCGCCTGGTAGGTAAGTAAATAGGTATTATTTTAATTCAAATCGTTATTTAAACACTCAAGATTCAGAATTCTGATCACCCTGTATATGTTCCAACTAAATGTCAGTAGATAGTAAATCAAAATTTGAGAAAGGGATATGAAAGCCGTTTTGACCAATAATGAATAGTTTCGACACAAAAAAATGCTAATGTTGAAAAATCTCGATTTTGATTTTTGAACACCCTATATCTCCGTAATCATTCCCACTAGACACCAAGTGTGATAAATTGATGAAAGCATCAGCTCTTCAGGGAAAATCTAAAAATTCAATGAAATACAGGGTGTTCCATTTGAAAATCGAATGTTGATGCCCGTTACGCTTCAAGGTTTCAACTTTGGAATATGATAATTATTGCAGAAAAATGTGCCTCCGCCAAATTGATATCGACCTGTCAGCGATTTTCAATTTTTTTGACGACATCGGAGAGAGAGACACACTGTATGTATTTTTGACATCAGAATTATAGGAGAATATCTTTTCAATGTTTAATTTGAGGTAAATTTCGAGTATAATTTTAACAACCCTGATGTAGGTAGACCTCGTCATACCAAAAAAAGATATATATTTCTCCTCGTATTTCTACATAATAATATATCTAGGTAACTGGTCGAAAAATTTTTTTCAACTCTCTTTAAAGAGTTAAATGACTAAAATGATCGAGTAAGTATTGGTATACATATACAGTGTGACCCATTTAAGATGGAAGCACCCTTATAAAACTTCATATTTCAACCGATTGGAATGATTTTTTTTTTGTTAGGTAGATATTCAAAAAGTCTATTAGGACACCAAATATCATGAATAAATCTCCATTTCCAGGGCCAACTAATCTGATTTTTCAAGGTCAAAAATCTAAAAAAATTACTAGCGATTTTTTTAGAAAAAATCTGACTACACCACTGGATTTGTGACATTTTCAAATGGGTAACATGTAAATTACGTTGAAATGCGTCAATCAATAAAAAAGTTATAAAGGAATGAAATTTGAAAAATATGCCGTTTAATCAACCCATCAATTTTTATTACTGAACAGATTTCGATGAAACTGTGATCAGTAATATTTCAAGACATCCTGAATCCAGTGGAGTATACAGAATTTTCATAAAATTCCTGAACATGAATTGGTGGGTTGATTAAACGGCATATTTTTCAAATTTCATTCCTTTATAACTTTTTTTATTGATTGACGCATTTCAACGTAATTTACATGTTACCCATTTGAAAATGTCACAAATCCAGTGGTGTAGTCAGATTTTTTCTAAAAAAATCGCTAGTAATTTTTTTAGATTTTCGACCTTGAAAAATCAGATTAGTTGGCCCTGGAAATGGAGATTTATTCATGATATTTGGTGTCCTAATAGACTTTTTGAATATCTACCTAACAAAAAAAAATCATTTCAATCGGTTGAAAAATGTAAGTTTTATAAGGGTGCTTCCATCTTAAATGGGTCACACTGTATGTATGAGACTAGCACAAAGCAAAAACTTTGGATAGATATGCTTTTCTCTCGGCTTTCCTGTTTGTCCCGAGGTTTTTCCTAGGATTTGTATGAACCTTAATTTGCTTTGTTATTTCCTCTGCGCGTGACTTAAAGCGACCTTATAACCCTGCCTTGTAACCGTAAACCGTAAAACCAACTAAACCAAGTAAAACGGCACTAAAACGTCTAATACATCCCCACCTTTCACCTTTCCACGTATTATTATTACCCTCGTCCAATTCACAGCCGACCCCGACGAATTAGAGCTGTTTCCGTTTTCTTAAATTAGCTCCGGTGGCACGTGTTTCAGGGATCGCCCTGTGTTTATTTGGACAAAAATGGCCCGTGTAAATTGTACATTGAGAAACGGTGTGTTGATATCCTCGAAACAGCTTTCAGGAATGTCTGGTTTTGTTGTTTTTGGGAGGTCTGGTTTCGATCTGCGACTTCTGTTCAGTCATTTTCGGATTTTATAGTTACAGGAAATTGTTATTTGTCCATTAACGATTGATTTGTGTTATTGTGTTTCGCAGAAGATACAGCAGCAGTACTTATTAGATTTTTTCCACAAAGATGAAGATTGTTATACGTAACACCAATTGATAGTAAGTGAAAAGTTGGGATAGGGACATGTAAACCGTCTTGACGAATGATGAACAGTTTCGACAGAAAAATATCCTGAACTTGGAAAATCTCGATTTTGCACACCCTATATGTCAGTAACATTCACTGCTAGACCCTAAGTATGATGGGTCGTTGAAATCAGATTTTCAGGGAGAATTCAAAAATGAAATGAAATATAGGGTGTTCCGATGAAAAAAACATAGCTTTAATGTGCTGTGACCTTACGGAACACCCTGTGTATTTCAAAGAAATTTTGAAATGTGAAGCTCGGTTATTACTTCAATTTTGATACATGACTTTTTTTTGTATCTCTCAAGACAACAGAGAAATCGAACTCTGGAGTCTTAGTTGGCCACCCTGTACATACATAAACTTCGCCGAAAAAATAATCTCGTGAAATCAGTGTACTTACATAAAGCTCGACCATGCTCGACTTAAAGCCCTAAAGCTAAACTTGAATTACACTGAGTATCATTTCCTCGGAGTTTTCCAGATTTTGAAAATAAATAACTGCCTGAAACGCTATAGACATCAAAATATCATGATTGGAATGTCCAAGAGCCGGCTGCAAATTTCGATATAGGTATGTCCCAAAGACATGTAAAAACATTGTATTCTATCGAACGGCACCTGTGCCAATCATAAGCCTGAGCAAAATGGTTGAAAAATAATTGCACTTTCCTGTGCAATTCGCACTTAATTTCGCTATTTGATAACGAGATAAGAATTATGCCATCCGATACCAATTCGATGGTAGATCTCAAAAACCTACCTATGTCACTTGTCAATTTGAGCCAAATCTACGGCACAGCGATTCATTTGCTGCCATTATTCCGTCATATGATAACGAGTTGAAACAAAAAGCATGAATGTCCCCCCTTTGCGAATAGGACTATGAGAGAAAATCCAAAAATATTGTGATATGAATCCTCATAACATAACCTACAGACATTATTTAACATAATTATATGTTAGGTAGGTACCTATTTTTGATAAATAATATTAGGAGGTACCCAATTAGTACCAGTTTTTTACACCGAAAGTCTCAAGGTTTTTGGTTGCCCAATCGCAATTCCCATCACCGAAGCGAAAATAAACATGTCAACAATTTGCAAAACGGGAAACCATAAAAAGTCTATTGCTGTTTATCATTCATTCAAGAACTCGTCAGATGAGTGTACGCTGAACTCGTCCAAGAAGATTTATTTATAAGTACATCATTCTAATGTTCCTTTCTTTCGAATAAACTACGATGATTAACTTGATGTGCATTTCTCAGTTTGTTATCTTCCAAGATTCACATCTGTACAGTAGCTTGAGTCAGACTAATGCAGGTTTCTGTTGAGACTTTTAAGAATTGCGATGACACATTTAAATATTTCAAATGGGTAAACATTATGAAACGGCGATAAAAAGTGTCGCTTCTGGCAATGGGAATAAAATTTTCTTTCAGGTTTTGTGAGGTACTCACCCAGTAATGTTCCATCCAAATCGAAAATAACGTGAGAAACTTCATTGAAAATGATACCACGACACGCATGAATCTGGAATGAGGATGATTTTCGATTTCGATTCATCATTTATTGTGGTTTTGAATTGACATAATATGCCAAAATTAACCAAATTATTCTTCCACAGTTCACATTGGCAACGTCTTTATGAACTTCTAGGGTTGCATACCCATATCACCATAATACAGAATTCATACTCTCCATCTGCGTTAAAGTGTATATCTTCTGATAATGCTCGGTCAGAACCATGAACGTATGTCA